CCCCACCTTCTTCCACGCAGATCCATAAGGAAAAGAGGAAATGCACCTAATGTAAATGGTCCCACAAAGTTGTTTGATCAGAATTACAAAGACTGGCTAGAAGAGCCATATGAAGCAATTCACGGAACTGCAGTTTCTCTCTCCTTGAGGAAGCTAATGAGTGAAAAGACTGAACAGATTTTCTCACTGTGTCCCTTCCCAGGCAAAGCCATTGATTGAGTGAAACCAAGTGGACTTTCCGTCTAGAGAATGGCTTTGTGTCTCTACTTAGGGACTGCTGATGGAGACATCTGTGGAGTCACAGGGCAGCCTTGGTCAGCAGGGCTTGGTCCAGCCTTGTGGCCTGGCTTGTTTTGTTGAGGCCTCAGTGACTTAGTTCGGGAAGCCTGGTGCAAGCTTGTGCTCCATTGCTCCCACCCTCATCTGGGGTCACACATAGTCCCTCCCTCCCAGTCAGGGACAAAGGCAGAGGAGTCCTTGTAGTTTCCTTGTCAGCAGCCACCTGCAGCAGCCTAGGAGAAGTGGCTGCAATTGAGACCTCTCAGTTCTCTAACTGTCATGTGGAAAATAACCTGTGAACCAGAAAGGAAGCTTTTTTAAATAGGTTTTGTTGTTGTTAAGTGCCATTGAGTCGGTACTGACTCATAGTGACCCTGTGTACGATTTGTTGTTGTTATGTGCCATGAAGTCAGTTCCGACTCATAACGACCCTGTACAGGGTTTCCAAGGCTGTAAATCTCCCATACAACAGCTGGCAGTTTCGAACTGCTGACCATGAGATTAGCAGCCCGATTTGTAACCACTATACTACCAGAGCTCCTTTGTGGAGGGTTTATGAGTCTGTAAATCCTTGTGAGAACAGAAAACCTTGTCTTTCTCCCAAGGAGCAGCTGGTACGCTTGAACTACTAACCTGGTGGCTCAGAGACCAGTGTTTCTCCTACAAAGTCTCCGTGCTGCTTTTGTTCTTATAAGGCCCCCTTTTAAGCAGAGCATTTCTGCCTTGGCAGTAGTCTGTATTGTCACCTGTACAGATTCCAAAGAGAGGGGAGCTTGGTTGACGCAAAGTGGAGTGATAGCAGATTCTGAGAACAGTTCTGGGAACAATCTCTGGACACTTGGCCAATGCAGTTAAAGGACTTCTCCTTCTGAAAAAAAGGAACTTAATAAATTGGATGGATGGAGGAGTGAAAACACTGCGGTTCCTTCTGCACTAGGGACTGCAGTGGTAATCTGTGAAACTGAAGGTGCAGGAGTGGAGGATCTGATGAACAGCCACTGGAAGTGCTAGAAGCCTGGTCTTTTCCTCGCTAGTTTGTCTTCTTCTCTAATAGAATTCTTATTCCTCCACCATGGAACACGTACCTACTTGTTCAGGGTCTTCTTCTGTCTCAGAATTCTCATTTTGAAGGGCATCCATCTTGGTCTACCCCTGAGATACAGTGAAGTTCATGGGCTCGGGGTGTTTTCCGAACTTGTGACTTAAGACTTTCTTGGCAGTGATGAAGTATCTCAGTTACCCAGGGCTGCCAAGTGGACAGCCTACCACAAGTGGACGACGTTATAGAGCAGAAATTAATTTTCTTACAGTTCTGGAGGCGAAACTTCCAAATCAAGATCTTACCTTTGTCACTCTCCTTTTGTGAGTCTCTCAGTCTCCTGATTTCAGCTGATTTCTGACAGTCCTTGATGTTCCTTGGTGCCTGTCTCCCCACTGTGTGTGTCTCTGTGTCTATTCTGCTCTTTGTATGACTCAGTGATTAGGTTTAGGACCCACCCACAATGGGACCTCATTAACTTAACAAAATAAAACTCCAGTGTCCAAACAGGGTTATATTTACATGTACAGGATCAGGATTTAAGTACGTATTTGTTGTTGTTGTTAAGTAACATGGAGTCGGTTCCGACTCATAGTGACCCTTTACAGGGTTTCCGAGGCTGTAAATCTTTATGGGAGCAGAACGCCTCATCTTTCTCCTATGTAATCACTGGTAGTTTCGAACTGCTGACCTTGTGGTTGTCAGCCCGACTTGTAACCACTATGCTACCAGAGTATTTGGGGGGGACACAATTTGACAAAAATGATATTATTGTGGTTTGGGTGAAATTTTACAGAACAAATTCGTTTCCCATTCAACAATTAATGCACATTTTGTTTCATTACATTTGTTGTAATCTACTGAGTGTAATAGCATTCTTCGCCATTCCTCTCTGGGTTCCCTGGTTCTATTTGTCCTCCTTCCCTTCCCCTTTCTTCCCTCTGAGCTTTGTTTTTAGACAAATGCTGCCCTTTTTATATTACATGGTTAAGTGTCTAACAGTGCATTCTTCTCCCGTGTTGTGGTCACTCTATAGGTCTTACTGTTAGACTGAAACTTAATCCGCAGGCATGGGTTCAGTTCCAGGCTTGGAGGGTATCTAAGAGCCAGTCTCGGGGGGTCCACCAGTCCCTATCAGACCAGTAAGTCTGTTCTGGGGGACCCAATTCAATCCATAACACCAAGTGTTATGGGGAAATGTCTGTTTCTGTTGAGAGCTTTACTTATGGTATTTATATTTCGTAACTGCCATTCTAAAATACTAGTTTTAGAAGGTTTATAATTCTATGTGAAAGCATGTGATATTCTGAGAAGAGAAGCCTACTTGGCCAATAATTTGTAGATTTGAGCAAAGATCCTTGTTCTGATATTTCCCATTCGGTTACTTGGTGGAATTGCTGTCTTCTGCCCCTCAGGTTTATATAATTAGATACAAACCTTAAAGAGAGATGAATTTCTCTTATGAGAGTTAATGTTCCAGTAGAAACATTGTCCCGAAGACTCATAGTTAATTGCCCTAAGTGGAAATGAATTCATCTCACTGGAAAGGATTTAAAAAAATATATATTTTTTCTTCCTTTGATTGGTGACAGATTGTGTGTCATTGTCAGACAGGGAACAAGAGGGAGAGAAAATTATACTTGCCTTTTGTAGGCATCTCTTTGATATTGAATGATGAACATAGGCCCTCGGGCTCTGATATTGGAACGACATTGGCGCCTCAGTGCTTTGCTTTTGATTCGTCTCTAATTCAGAACTGTGTAGGAGTCTGTGCTTGTGTGTGTGGTAAAACTATACGTAACAATACATTTGCCAATTCAGCAAGTTTTACCAGTATGATTCAGTGACATTGATTACAATCTTCACGTTCCGCTACCATTGTCACTATCCTTTTCCAATGTATTCTACCACCATTTAACCTCAGTGACCCCTGAACATTAACTTCCCCTTCCCCCCTCCTTCACACTCCTGGGAACCTCTAATAAGCTTTGCTTTTTATATATTTGCTTGTATTACTTAGGTGAGAGATGTGTTTGTCCTTTTGTGACTGACTTACTTTGCTTGGTGTAATGTTTTCAAGGTTCACCCATGTTGTAGTTTGTATCAGGACTTCGTTTGTCTTTATGGAAGCCATGTGTAGTGTGCCCACTTGTGCCTTGTGGGATTGTGTCTTAAAATAAGTGGAGAAATAGGGAGGGGCAATGACTCCATAGGTCATGGTGCTTTCATTGGCCCTTGCACACAGAACCCAAATTGCGGAGGGGCTGGAGAGGGTGAATGAGGAGCTGTTTTTTGTTTCAGAGTCTTCATGGACATTCTAAGTAGCCCTGGTGGCACAAAGGTTAAGTGCTTGGTGGATGACTAAAAAAGTTGGCAGTTCAAATCCACTCAGTGGTTCAAAACCCATTCATGGCTCTGTTGGAGGAAGATCTGGGAATATGCTCCCATACAGATTGTTGTTACTGTTGTTAAGTAATGATGAGTTGGTTCCAACTCATAGCAATCCTGTGTAGGGTTTCCAAGGAGTGGCTGATGGGCTTGAACCACTGACCTTGTGGTTATTGGTCAAATTCTTGTCCTATACAGTCGTACCAGGACTCTTGGAAAATCTTATTGGGCAGCTCTACTCCTGTCATCTTTGGGCACTCTGAGTTGGAATCAACTCGATGACACCTAACCACCACCACCACCACCACCACCACAGGGATGTTTTTTTCCCAAAGCACAACACCAGGCACATGCTGACCTATGGGAGGTGACAAGGGGTGGTCAGGAGGTGGTTCTGAGGAGCTGGCTCTGGGCTCCTGACCATTGGGTATTTCTCAGACCAGAGGAAAGGCCCCTGCTGAGTTGAACCCAGGTTTTCTAGCAGGCTAGTGTCCACACTCAGGTCATCAGTGCCGTGTGGTTTTTGTTTGTTTGGGATGAAAACAAGCACACTGCTTATTGAAGACTTGCTTACCCCTGCCAATTAATTGCCCCATGTCAATACCACATGTTGTAGCAACTCACACTGTGATTACATTCGTATCTATCTGTGAGAATGAAGTAAATGTTTGTCAAGTGTACTTAAATTTCTTTGAATAAAGGGACCTGTGTGGAATCTTGAAATTTTAGTATTGCTTTTTAGTCTTTTTGTTGGGGGGGAGGGTGGGTGTGTGTGGAGGTGCTAACAACTTTAGATAGATAGTCTTTCTTTACAGGAACCTTTTCTAGGAGCATTTTGTGTATTCCTGCAGGGTGTAGGGTGGAGCCCATGGAAATGGTCACACTCATGTAACCACCTGCCCCCTTTCATGAAGACATAATCACATGTGTGTAATATCTTTGCAGAAAGAAGTTTGGTAGAGCATGATGCTGGATGAAAAATAACAGCAATACTCACTTTAGTGTAGGATTAGTGGTGCCTTAGGTTAAGCATTTGGACCGCTAACCACAGGTCGGCGGTTCAAACCCACCAGTGACTCCTCTGAGGCAGTCTGCTTCCATAACCAATCAACTCGATGGATTCTTGGACTCCCTGTGGTGGAGCAGGTCTACCTTGTCCCATAGAGTCATTGTGAGTTGGAATCCGCTTGATGGCAGTGGGTTTAGGGGGATAATAGAATTAGAGGAGCCATTACCAAATAAAACACTCCAGACTCTAACTTCTCTTCTTCTTTTTTTCTTTCTTGGTTCACAGTGGAGCATTTTCTGAGGTGGTTTTAGCTGAAGAGAAGGCAACAGGAAAACTCTTTGCTGTCAAGTGTATTCCCAAGAAAGCGCTGAAGGGCAAAGAAAGCAGTATTGAGAATGAGATTGCTGTTCTGAGAAAGTAAGTATAGGCGGGTCGGGCCTCCTGCTCTGACTGCCTTTGTGACTGCCTGGTCCCTCAGCCAGTGGAGTGAACGGCCTGCATGGAGCCTGGCTTCACAGAGGTTAACAGAGAAGATGACACCATAGGCCTAGAGCCAGGGTGGCCACTACCAACGCTGGCTACCATCAACGTGGTCTTCTCACAGCCCTTTTCGTGTATCTCATCTCGTATAACACTTGGGGCAGTTATTTGAGTGATTACTTCAAAGGGCACCAAAACAGGGCAGACTTAAATGTATTATAAATTTATCTCATGTAAAATTTTATAATATATATATTTATCATGTAAAAATTTGCCATTCTGACCACGTTTAACTGTGCACTTCAATGGCATTAATTACACTCACAAAATTGTGCAATGATTACCACCATGTATTTCCAAAACGTTTACCTCACACAAACAGATACTCCATGAGTTCTATGTTGGTTTATCAGATAGCAGTAACTCCCCACTTTCCTTGCCCACCCCCTGGCCCCAAGTGACCTCTAATTTATTTTCTGACTCTAAGAATTTGTTTCTTCTGTGTACTTTATATAAGTGGAATCGTGTACTGTTTTCCTTTTTGTGTCTGGATTCTTCCACGTACTGTGTCTTCTAGGTTCATCCATATTCTAGCATGTACCGTGACTCCATTCCTTCTTGTGGCTGAGTAATAGTCCAGTGTTTGGATATACCATACTTTGTGTAACCATTCACCTGTTGTTGGGTGAATTTTATTTTTGCTCCCCATGTATAACAGAACAAATCAGAATCTTCTCATTTCCAGTGTAATAGTACAAGAAGAACCATTTCCCTGTTGCTGAATTCTCCCAAATGATGATCTGGCTTTTGTGCAAAGCACTACCTCCCCACTGTCATTATTAAGCCCTTCTAGCATATCTCACAAGGAGCTCTGGTAGCTTAGTGGTTATGAATCGGGCTGCGAACTGCAGGGTCAGCAGTTCAAAACTACCAGCTGCTCCGTGGGAGAAAGATGAGGCGTTCTTCTCCCATAAAGATTTACAGGCTTGGAAACCCTATGCAGGGTCACTTTGGATCAGAACCGGCTCCACGGCACATAGCCACCAGCCAGCATATCTTACATGGTTTGGGGGAACAGAACGTTATATGCGATACCTGTTCTGGCATGTTTTGTAGGGTATATGAATTATGTTTGATGGAAATATTAAGAGTTTTCTATTAGTAAAAGATGTTAGAAATATCCTTGGGGGTTTGGAATCAGCACTTAGCAAGAACCTCTATACAGGTAAGCCAAGCCAAGAGGGAATAAACATTATTGGGCCTCAAAACAAGATGCCATACTACCCTCACTCTTCCTGGGCAACCTGTTGCTGTTGTTAAATGCTGTTGAGTTGGTTCCAATGCATAGCATCCCTGTATAGGGTTTCCGAGGAGTGGCTGATGGGTTTGAACCGCTGACTGTGTCTTACAGCACCACACCAGGAGTCCTGGGTAACCCGTGTCTCCCACTTTTCTGTGACTTGGGGACCACCAGTGCCTGATGAACAGTGCTTTACTACCATAGGATGAAGCTGGGACCACTAAGGGAATCTGGACAGTGTGTTCTGTTCTGACTTCCATGTTACTCAAAAGAAACTTTGCAGCATATATGATTGGTTTTCTGGACAATTGTGTCTTACAGCTTTTCATTGAAAGGGGTTTCTTTTATTTTATAGATTAAATTATATTATTATTATTATTTCCCTAAAAGGAGTCCTGGTGTGACACTGTGGGTTAATGCAGTAGACTGCAAGGCCGGTTTGAACAACAAGATCGGTGGTTCAAGCTCACTAGCCACTCCTCAGAAACCCTCTACAGGGTCACTGTGAGTCAGAACTGACTCAATGGCACTTAACAACAACAATAATACATTTTTAAAATTTATTTTATTATTGTTTGAAAATATACATCGCAAAACATACCTCAATTCAAGAATTTTTATAGGTACAATTCAGTGACATTGATATATTCTTCAATTTAAACAACCATTCTTTTCCAAATAGCTCCTTCTCTAGTCAGATAAACTCACCGTTCCTCAGTTTCCTACCTAATCTTTAGAGTTGCTGTTGTCAATTCGACTTCATAGAGATAGATTGCAAAGGAGCACAGTATTCAAGGGAGACGTTCTTTCTGGTAAAGCCTAACGGTTTTCTTTTCTTTTTTTAAATTGTCATTTGGTTTAAAGTTTAGAGAGCAAATTAATTTTCCATTCAACAATTGATATACATTTTGCGTAGTGTAAGGACTTTCATTTATTTGTTTGGTTATTTGGGTGGTTTCTAGGGTCTTTAGGTAGTCTATTAGTGACCCCGAAGTTTCAGATTGTTCTATGGAGGGTACATGAAGTGATTATATCTATGAGAATTTAGAAAAACAAATTACTTTAAGTACATTAGCATCAAACAGGAAAACACTATGTTAATGAGGCATTTATTTAAATTGCTCATTTTCTGATATGAAATCAGTGTTTGGAGAAGGGGCCATCCGCTGGTGACATTAAGTCTCAGACTCATGGCAGATATTTGACATTTTGGATAAAATTTTGGGTGGTACCAGAGCCTTCCAAAGACTCTGTGTTGGGTCCAGGGACTGCTGGGCCTCTGTTGATTTGCGGG